CTAACGTCAGTATGAAACGACTTATCCCGAGCTAAAGTTATCCCGCTTCAGCAGTATAAAACGACATCCCGAGCTAAAGTTATCCCGCTTCAGAAGCGGGCTAAATTCGTTCGCAGTATGAAAGCGGCACAAGCGACCGGGCGTTCGCTACCTTGCCGCTAGCTTGCGGTGGGAAAAGTCTGAAGAGATGGCGAGGGGAGGAAGGCAGCTACGTGAAGTAATGTGGCGCCATCTGGGAGTGATTGTCGTCATCTTCACATGGTCGCCTTGCAGCTGACGTTCGCCTCACATGCGGTTCGTCAACCACATCCCTAACGTTTTCACTAACCCAAACCCAACCTTTACCTTAATGACAATCCAAACCTTAAGCACAGCCCCAATTCCAATCCTCAAACCAATCCCAACCCTGATACCAATCCTAACTTAACCCAAATTCTAATCCCAACATTACCCTGACCTAGCCCCAACCACAACCCTAACACCAACCCCAACTCAAAGCCTATCCCTAACAAGTCCGATCACCTTTTCCCCGCCATCTCACATCCGACTGCGGATGGTCACACACCTGGACACATAGTGGTACACTTGACTTCCCAGTGTCAGGTGTCGCCTGACCTTGCGGGATGGCACGTGAACACGCGGCGTTCGCACGTCAACGCATGGTGTGTGGCACTCTAACTGGTGTCTTGCTCCTAACTGATGCTGGATCGACAGCAGGTGGTGAGTGTGAGACCGCGGATCAACCAACCGGCTGCTGCTGCTGCTGCTGCTGCTGCTGCTGCTAGGCCGTGGAGTCTCTCTAGTGCGGTTGTAGACTGTATGGCTTCGCCGCTCTTTCTCTCGCTCTCTATCTCTCTCTCCCTCCTATCGATCTATATTTATAGATATTACTCAGCTGGTGATTTTGGCACGCACTAGAAAGCGCCGCAAAAACGCCGTCTGTGTCTAGTCTAGGCAGAACAGTTTATCACAGTATATCAGCACGCAGGCCACTCGCTGCCTGCCTGCCTGCCCGCTTGCCTTCCCGCCCGCCTGCCTTGCCTGTCTTTCTGCTTGCTGTCCTGCTTGCCTTCTTGCCTGCATGCCTGTTTGTCAGCCTACTTGCCTGCTTGCCTGCTTGCCCTGTCCTAATGTCTGTCTATTTGCCTGTCTGGCCCTGCCCGCATGTTTGCCAGCTCGTCTCGTTGTGCTGCTTGTGCAGGGTAAAGATGTCTAATGATTGCGATATTAAATGCTGTTAATTAAAGTTCTGTGCCGTCCCCGTAGGTGATAATTCCGTTACGGCAAGTCAAGACTGACTATGCACCTATGCGTGTATACACCACACCACACCACACCACTCCACCACACCAAACCGCACCGCACCGCACCGCACCGCACCACACCACACCGCACCACACCGCACCACACCACACCACATCTCACTACACTACACCTACGCTGCCTCTAGGTGCTCGCTCGTGAGCAGGGAGGGATGTAACCCCTGCGCAACATTTACAAATACAGTCGGCGTTCGCTCGCTCGTCCCTATGTTTTTGCCCGATAGAGCGAGCTGTCTCTGCTCGGTTTATAGGGTTAGGTTCGCGGAATCGTGAAAAACGAGGGGAAAGCAGCTAATTTCGTCTAATTTGTACGGCGTGCGCACTGCGCCCAATCACTGAGAGACAGAAAGGAGGGTGAGGGGGAAGAGAATGAGGACGAGCAAGAGGAGGAAGAAGAGGTGAATGAGGAAGAAAGAGAGAAGAAGGGGAGGAGCCGAAAGAGGAAGAGGAGGAGGAGAAGAAGGAGAAGGAGAAGGAGGAGTATTATGTATTTTTGCGGTATTACAGGAGGATGCTCTGGAGCAAACGACTCTGTTGCGTTTTTTCCCACGAGGGCTACACGTCTGCTTTCTTAAACGTGTTGTGTGCTCGACGCGAGAGACGTACTGTACGTCCTTCTCGCTCCGAGTTTCTCTCAGAGGCAGACTGATTTTCCGTCTTTGCTCCCACTCCTCCTTCCCTTCCTCCTTCTTTTAAGCACACCTCCCCTTCCTCGTGGCACTCTATATTCTCGCACCTTGCCTGGTTTATGTTATCCACATTGCTTCCCCTGTTCACCTCTGCGTCCACTCTTCTCCGTTACTCCCTTTCGACTCTTGCATTCTTCCTGGCTCCTTCCATCCTCCGCATCCTCTTCCGACTTCTGGTCTGCATTGCTCCCGCGTAGATAGGACGCAGGCAGACAGGCACGCAGGCAGGCAGGCAGGCAGGCAGGCAGGCAGGCAGGCAGGCAGGTAGGCAGACGGGCGGGCGGGCAGGCGGGCGGGCGGGCGGGCAGGCAGACATGCAGGCAGGCAGGCAGACAGGCGGGCAGGCAGGCAGGCCGACGGACTGGAAGACTGGCAGACAGACAGTCAGGCATACACGCAGACAGATAGGCCAGCAGACAGGCAGGCAGACATGCAGACAGACAGGCAAACAGGCAGGCAGACAGACAGACATGCAGACAGACAGGCAGACAGAAAGGCAGACAAGCAGGCAGACAGACAGACAGACAGGCAGGCAGGCAGACAGGCAGACAGACAGACAGACAGGCAGACATGCAGACAGACAGGCAGACATGCAGACAGACAGGCAGATAGGCAGCCAGGCAGGCAGACAGACAGACAACCCTGCCAACTGGCACGCGGGACGGGTGACAAAATAAACCTGAACCACCGGAACCATTCGGTCATCGGAAAAACGCAAGAAACAAAACGGGAAAAAAACTCGCTGCCGTGTTTAATGCGGCGCGCAGTTTTTGACACAGTAATCAATGTTAATTTACATGTAGCCGCCGCTGTCGGCTGCCTCATGTTCACAGCAAAGAGGAGGTGTTTCCCCGCCCTCCCCGGGAGGCGCTGGTGGATTTGCAGTACCCTCTCTGGGAGGATTTAGGCTTTCCGCTCTTCTTTCCCTGTCTAGCGAATAGTTGGTTCGCAGTCCTCCTTAGCAGGAGCCCATGCACAGGGTCCAATTCCATGTAGCTGGTTAGTAGTATCATTCGGTTCTGTGTGTACACGTACAGAATAGACCTCTTGCGCAGCAGCAGAAGCAGCAGCAGCAGCAGCAGTAGTTGTAGCAGCAGCAGCAGCAGCAGCAGCAGTAGCAGAAGCAGCAGCAGCAATAGCAGCAGCAGCAGAAGCAGCAGCAGCAGCAGCAGTAGTTGTAGCAGCAGCAGCAGCAGCAGCAGTAGCAGCAGCAGCAATAGCAGCAGCAGCAGAAGCAGCAGCAGCAGCAGCAGTCCCAACCTGTCCTTGTCATAACCTAGTCCAACCTAATCATTAGTCGGGCCACAAATCAGGAAACCTGTAGCGCGCGACGTAGGCGCGTACAGCTTAAAAGAGAGGGGTTTTGAGAGAAACGGGAGAGTCCTGGACCATCGCTGGTATGTGTATACACTGTTATTGCTCGTGCTTAGAATAAACCTATAGTTGTTTACCGTTTATACAAACTCTTACGTCTACTGTCTACAATACGATATTCAACGCTACAGCAATAGCAGCAGCAGCAGCAGCAGCAGCAGTAGCAGCAGCAGTAGCAACAGCAGCAGCAGCAGCTCAGCAGTGGTAGCAGCAGCAGCAGCAACAGCAGTAGTAGCAGTAGCAGCAGCAGCAGTAGCCGCAGCAGCAGCAGTAGTAGCAGCAGCAGCAGCAGTAGCAGCAGTAGCAGTAGCAGCAGCAGCAGCAGCAGTAGCAGTAGCAGCAGCAGTAGCAGCTGCAGCAGTAGCAGTAGCAGCAGCAGTAGCAGCAGCAGCAGCAGTAGCAGCAGCAGCTGCAGCAGCAGCAGCAGTAGCAGCAGCAGCAGTAGCAGCAGCAGCAGTATAGTAGCAGTAGCAGTAGCAGTAGCAGCAGCAGCAGCAGCAGCAGCCGCAGTAGTAGCAGCAGCAGTAGCAGCAGCAGCCGCAGTAGTAGCAACAGTAGCAGCAGCAGCAGTAGTAGCAGTAGTAGCAGTAGTAGCAGCAGTAGCAGCAGCAGCAGCAGCAGCAGCAGCAGCAGCAGTAGCATGAGATCATCACAGCAGGGGCGGGAGTGTTTTTCACCGGGCATCGCGAACTGCATGATGATGCTCGTTCGCCGCGATTGTCTTGGTTAAACGCCTGGAATTCAGAACTTAGAACTCGCCTTCTTGGCTTTATTTAAATTATATGCGAATCATGTTGGTCGGCTTTGCTGTTGGGAGAGGGGGCGACGACAGCGACTGCAGCAGCAAGGCCCGCTGGCACTGTTTACACGAGCCCAAAGTCACCTCAGCGCGCGGTCGCACATTCGAGCAACTAGAGCACATTATATAGAGATTTATTATTACATGCTAGCAGTTATGCTGGCCTAGGTTCTTTTCGCTCCCGGCCTCTCTCTCTCCCCGGCAAAAACCGATTTATTCCGGCAAAGGTGGCCGTGAAATTCAGTCTATTAGCGAATATACGCACGCACGCACGCACGCACGCACGCACGCACGCACACACGCACGCCGGCGTAAAGCACAGAATAAACTTTGCACGATTTATGGTCCTCGCAAAACCGCCGATTGCTCCGTGGCATAATATTCCCCGTGTATATATTATATATAATATCAGATATATAATGTATATACTGATTTTGTATATACACAAGCCCACGCTTTCTTCGGTGTATATAATATTAGATATATAGTGTATATATGTACCGATTCTACATATTATACAAACACACACCCGCTCTCTTCTGTGTGTGTACGTGATATAGAATTTATGGTGTATATACCGATTTTGTATACACAGTAGAGCGCGGGCGATTGCGTAGCACACATTCATATGTTACATGTGAGCGCGTGCGTGCGTGTACGTGTGTGCGTGCGTGCGTGCGTGAGTGCGTGTGTGTGAGTGCGTGCGTGCGTGCATGGCCCGCTGAGAGAGAGAGATGGAGAGAGGGAGAGAGAGAGCGAGAGAGGGACAGAGTGAGAGAGAGAGAGAGAGCGAGAGAGAGAGAGAGACAAGCGACGGGCGTTCGCTACCTTGCGCGTTGAGCTTGCGGTGGGAAAAAGTCTGAAGAGATGGCGAGCGTGAGGAAGGCAGCTACGTGGTAAATGTGGCGCCATCATGGGAGTGATTGTGCGTCATCTTCAAATGTCGCCTTGCCAGCTGGCGTAGCGCCTCGACATGACGGGGTCGCACCACATCGCCTAACGTTGTTCAATAACCCAAACCCAACCGTTACCTTGAATGACAGATCCCAAAGCGCTTAAGCCAGACCCCAAATTCCAATCCTCAAACCAATCCCAACCTAGATACCAATCCTAATTAACCCGAAATTATGAATCCCAACATTTAAACCCTGAAGCTAGCCCCCAACCACAACCCTAACACCAACCCAACCAAAGCCTATCCTACGAAGTCCGAATCACCTTTTCCCGCATCTCACATCGACTGCGGGGCACACACCTGGAAACACATAGTGGCTACACTTAGACTTCCGTGTCACGGTGTCGCCTGACCTTGCGGGATGGCACGTGAACACGCGGAGCGTTCCGCACGTCAACGCATGGTGTTGTGGCACTCTAACTGGTGTCTGCTCCTAACGGGATGGCTGGATCGACAGGCAGGGTGTTGGAGTGTGAGCCGCGGAATCAACCAACGGCTGGGCTGCTGCCTGCTGATGCTTGCTTGCTGCTGCTTAGGCCGTGGAGTCTCCTAGATGAGGTTGTAGGACTGTATGGCTCCGCCGCTCTTTCTCTCGCTCTCTCATCTCTACCATCTTTTCCCTCCTATCGATCTACTATTTTATAGATGCATTACTCAGCTGGTGATTTTGGCACGCAACTAGAAAGCGCCGCAAAAACGCCGTCAGTGTGGCTAGGCTAGGCAGAACAGTTTATCACAGATATCAGCACGCAGGCCACTCGCTGCCTGCCGGCCTGCCCGCTTGCCTTCCCGCCCGCCTGCCTTCGCCTGTCTTTCTGCTGCCTGATCCGGCTTGGCCTTCTTGCACTGCATGGCTGTTTTCAGCCTACTTGCTGCTTGCCTGCTTGCCCTGTTCTATGTCGCCATCTATTTGCCCTGTTGGCCCTGCCCGCAATGTATGCCAGCTTCGTCTCGTTGTGCTGGCTTGTGCAGGGAAAGCATGTCTAATGATGGCGATATAAATGCTGGATTAATTAAAAGTTCTGGCCGTCCCCGTAGGTGATAATTCCGTGACGGGCAAGTCAAGACTGACTACTTGGCACCTATGCGTGTATACACCACACCACACCACACCACTCCACCACACCAAACCGCACCGCCAGACCGGCACGCACCGCCACCACAGCCACACCGCACCACACCGCACCACACCACACCACATCCTCACTACATACACCTACGCTGCCTCTAGTGCGCGCTCGTGAGCAGGGAGGGATGTAACCCTGACGCAACACATTTACAAATACAGTCGGCGTATCGCTCGCTCGCTTCCCTATGTTTATTGCCCGATAGAGCGACTGTCTCTTGCCCTCGGTTTAGGTTAGGTTCGCGGAATCGTGAAAAACAGAGGGAAAGCAGCTACATTTCCGTCTAAATTTGTACGAGCGCTGCGCACTGCGCCAATCCTTGAGAGACAGAAAGGAGCAGGTGAGGGGGAAAGAATGAGGACGAGCAAGAGGAGGAAGAAGAGGTGAATGAGGAAAGAAAGAGAGAAGAAGGGGAGGAGCGAAGGGAAGCAGGAGGAGGAGCAAGAAGGAGAAGGAAAGGAGGAGTATTATGTATCGTCTGCGTAGTACAGGAGGATTGCTCTGTGGTTTTTTCCCAGAGGGCTACACGTCTGCTTCTTAACGTGTTTTGTATGCTCGAACGCGAGGGCGTACGGTACGATCCTTTCTCGCTACCGCAGATTTCTCTCAAGAGACAGACTGATTTTCCGTCTATTGCTCCCACTCTTCCTTCTCCCTTCCTCCGTTCTTTTCAAGCACTCCTCCCTGTCCTCGGTGAGCACTCTATATTCTCGACCTTTGCTGCAGGTTATGGTAGTCCACATTGCGTTCCCCTGTTCACCTTCTGGAACGTCACTCGTTCTCCGTTACTCCGTGCGACTCTTGGCATTCTTCCTGGCTCCTTGCAGCCTCCGCATCCTCATTCCGACTTCTGGTCTGCATGTGCTCCCGCAGTACGAGAGTAGGAGTGCAGGCAAGAGCGCGAGGATTCAAGCGCGGGTCAGCAGGAGGCAGGAGAAGCGCATAGAGCACGGCAGGAAGAGGCCAGAAGATAGTGCAGCGGGCAGCAAGGGAGAACCCAGACCAGAAGCAGCCGAGGCGGCGGCGGCGAGGGCGGGGCGGCAGGCAGACATGCAGGCACGGCAGGCAGACAGGCGGCAGGCAGGCAGGCCGACGGACTGGAAGACTGCAGACAACATCACATCACGCAACAGATAGGCCAGCAGACAGGCAGGCCAGACATGCAGACAGACAAGGCAAACAGGCAGGCAGACAGACAGACATGCCTACTACTACTACTACTACTACTACTACTACTACTACTACTACTACTACTACTAGTACTAGTCTACTACTACAATCCACATTTGTACATGCTCACTGTCATGCTGTATCAATATAGGGGCCGCGCGTGGGTGTGCGGGTGGGCTAGCGCTGGGACTCTGCCTTTACTCCTTAACCCTCCCACTCGATTCTCCTCTCCACGCCTACATAATTATGCACTCCGTGACTACATTGAAATCAGTGTGGCGGGCTGGCTGGCTGGCGACATGCGTAACTCGGGCTTGTTTGCAGCTCACATGACTGGGAGAAATGCAGATGAGAACCTTTGAGAGCAAGCATGTCTGCAGGTGTGTTGCTGATTGCTAAGGGAGTGCCACCCAGTGCACAGGTATAGCATAACCATGGTCTAGGTATGACCCAGGTATGAGTGGCTGAGAAGGCGTTAACTAATGCCGCTTTCACACTGGGGTTTATCCCGCTTCAGGTCCGGACCTGAAGCGGGATAAATCCCAGTATGAAAGGTCGAAACACCCTTAGTTCGAGCTAAAGTTATCCCGCTCTAAGGGGTGGTCAGGTCCGTTTCAGACCCGAGCTAACGTCAGTATGAAAAGGTATCTCGACTTTAGCTCGCTCTAAATTCCCCCCACAAACCCCCCCATTACCCCATTCATACTAGGGGTTATCCCGCTTCAGGTCCGGACCCCAAATGAAAGGTCGAAAAACACTTAGCCCGAGCTAAAGTTATTCCACCTCAGGAGGTGGTTCAGGTCCGCTTCAGACCCGAGCTAACGTCAGTATGAAACGACTTATCCCGAGCTAAAGTTATCCCGCTTCAGAAGCGGGCTAAAGTCGTTCGCAGTATGAAAGCGGCGCACGCATGAAGCGTTCGCTCTCTCTCTCTCTCTCTCTCTCTCTCTCTCTCT